TGTCTTGTTTTTTATGGACATGAAGTCTGCCAATAAAGATTGATTGATTGATTGATTGATACAGACAACAGCAAGACGACACAGAGCAAAGCAAACTGTGGGCTGTAGAGCCTTAAGTCCAGACAGCAGAGCAACACAGAGACAGAAAGAGCAGAAATCTCTGTGGCTTCTCTTTATAGGGGCCAGTAACTCCACCTGCTGCTGCTGCAGGGTAACTTTCCACTTGTCCTCCAGCCAAAAACAGCTGGTGCTGGGTCAGGTACTGGTCAGGTACTGGTCAGGTACTGGTCAGGTGCTGGTCAGGTACTGGTCAGGTGCTGGTCAGGGCTCTGGATCAGGGTTATCTGCAGCTGGGTGCCCTTTGATGAACTCTTTGCTTTGCCTTATCACAAAAGGTCAGGACACAGTCAAACGCCACATATTAATCGTAGTTGTTAAATCTCACAAAAAGCAGAATGCATCAACAGGTGCTCTGACAGCAAGTGGCATAATCTTATGATAAACATGTTAATAATAGTTGACCTAATTATATAGGTTATATCGTATTGTAATGATCGTTAAGGTGACTTTACTGTGATGTGTTCAGTATCTCTGTTACAATGTTACCACCTTAATAACCCGCGGTGAGGGCAAAAAGTCTCGTGCTTAAGAGGCTACTTGAAAGATACAGTATATATGTTCACTGCACATAGATATACAGTGCATATAGTCATATAGGTATACTTTCCCAACATTCCCCTGGTCAACCAATTTAAGACGAATGAATTCCTGTTCATTTGCAAAGCGCACAACACAGCATCCCTAAAAGAATTCTCAAGAAACTTAAAACGAGACTAATTATAGGAAAATGAAAATAAGAAACATACCAGTAGACACAAATTACATACGTGATTACATGACAACATATGTGAAATTGATATAATTAAACAATTAATTCCCAGTTTTGGATTTCATCTTGGTGCAGCTTCTTTTTCTGAACAAAGGTCTCAGTGTGAGCTGTGAAATGTCCTTTGATAGCTTCAAGGTTAATTCTGGAGTTCCACAGGGCTCACTGCTAGGACCAGTTCTGTTTACAATACACATGTGTCCTTTAGGTAACACCACAATAGGCACAACATACCTCCGTCATGCAGATGACACCCTCCTCCATGTATCCAACACACACCAGTCAACCTGCAGGAATGCCTCCAGAAAACAAAGACCTGGATGACCTCTAACATTTTGCTCCTAAACCAAGATAAGACTGAGTTTATTGTCCTAAAGAACCTCAGACATATATGGTGTCTAACCAGATACTCAGTCTGGATTTTTAACCAGGATCTGTCCTTC